CCCTAACCCTAACCCTAAACCCTAACCCTAACCCTAACCCTAACCCTAACCCTAACCCTAAACGACACACAGCGGTTACGGGTCCACGGGTTTTTTTACTAAGTCCACTTCAAAAATTCTTCTTTCGGATATATCTCGGGACCCAGACTAGCTATGACTAAGCGAGGCACACTGTTAAAATCGCAACACTTTTCTCCACAATATAGCTATTTACAATTTCTTCTCTTACTTACAAATACTAAGTGCAGCGCTGTTCTCTTGTCTTGCTGCTTTGTTTGCGCAATATCTCGCTTATCTTACGCGCTAGAGCTAAGCGAGGCGCGGCGTTAGATTCGCGCCACAATTCTAATTAAAATAGTGTAGCTAGAATCTTTCTGCAGTAGCTGTGCAGCTGCAGTTACGTAAGGAACACTAAAACTAACCCCCTAACTTTGCGCCTACATAACTCTTTATCCCGACTAGCTACAGATAATCTAAGAGCAGATTTAGAATCGCACAGCAATTCTGCACAAAATAGCCTCTTTAGAATGTCTAATATTACTTTAGATAGCTGCCGGCAACAGCTTAGGGCTAGGCCCTTAGTTCCACCCTTCGTTCCTTATCAGTTCTTATCAGTACCACCAAAAATCGCTTGGGGCCAGTAGCCCCAAGCACGTCCTCTAGGGTAGTATTACGCTACGCGCGTACGCGTATATTATAATTATCTAAAGTTTTAATATTTTTTACTAAGGCTTAGTCTATAGCTACGTAGCTCTAAAACGCTAACTTCTATAATTACTATAAGTAAGTTAGCTAATTACATGCGTTTCTAGTTAGGCTAACTAGAGCGTGCGCTTTTGTTCTATCTATAACAACCTTAAGAGCTCTACAAGTAGAGTAATTAGTTACAGAATTAACTCTAATATAAGGCTGTTGCAGAAGTAGGCGTGCGCTATCTGCTATCTCTCGCGATGTGTGCGCGACAATGCGAGCGACGCGATGCGACAGCTTACACCTTCTTCACCATCCAAACCTGTGCCAGGTATGCGTATCGCGTTAACGCTCTCCGGTTGAACCCGTATTCCGCCTCTTTGCTCCGAACCTTCTTGCCCTCAAACGTCAGCTCACCGCACTCGTCGCCCAGATCCTCGAACTCAAAGCCCATCTCTTCAACAACGTCGACAATCTCCTCCAAGCTCAGCTGCACGAAAGGCCCGGTGCCGTACAGGAGTGGGCCGAGGTTGATCCATTTACCACCGGGCTTCAATAGCCTCTGGATGGTGTCGAAGTAGGCTATGAGGTTGCGCGCCGTGTCGATGAAGAAATGGGTGACGATGATGTCGTAGTGACCTGGTTGATCGTTGAATGCGGTATTGAAGTCGCCCTCGACGAGCAGAACACCAGGGTTGGGGGCGATGTTGGGCACCGTTACACTCCGGGTCATGTCGGCCTTCGTAGCATGGTGCGACATTCCGTCGATGAATGGGTGTATGGTGACCGCGTGCGCATCCTTTTGCGCTTCCATGTACCGGTATCCGACGTTCATGAACATTGACCACTCATTGATCGTGACCTCGAAGCCTGTCATTGCGTCAGTTGCTGCGCTTCTGCCCTTGCGCGCCACACTTACCTCCGAGATTGGCGACATCATGACCTAGCCGTCCGACGCCGGAGCCTGGAAGCAGTACCCTGAGTGGTGCGCTCTCGCCTGACTCTGCTTTGATGGCGTTCAACGTGCTCAGTATGCATGGGAACGCTTCGTTTCTCTCTTTGAGACCTTCGTCCGCCCAGTCGCGTACGTAATGCTTCAGCGTTTGAGCTGTCGCAAACTTGTCTGCTTGGCGCTTATCGCTCTCTGCCTGCTTCATGTGCTCATCCAGTTCTCCCTGACTGATGCCGTAGAACTTCATGGCGTGTAAAGCAATACTCTTGGAGACGCCCGCGTTCACATAGATCAGCTCTTCGAGTTCATCCAGTTTCTTCGTGTAGCCGACGGTGTTCTCCAATGTCTGCTTCATTGTGAGCGACCGGCATCACAACGCGCACGTGCGACCGACCTTTTTCTGCTTTTTGCTGACGCTTTTGTACATACTCCGCCAGCGATCCAGCTCGGCCATATGGCGTTCGCGGTACCTCGTATATGCCCACAGCGCTTCGAGGAGCCTGTAACGCGGGTGGCTTGTTCCCCATTTACCGCTCTTCTTGTCCATCCTCTTCAACAGCTGTAGCTTCTCCCGTCGGTGGCGGGGCGAGGCGCCGTTGTCGCTTGGTGGCATCGCACCCATCATCAAGGGATCTTGCGCGGCTTGCGCATTGTCCATAGCGATGCGGACTTCTTCGGCGTTCGGTGTGTTGCTAGTGGCATGGGCTTGGCTTTCTCCGCTAGGTGTTCCAGCATTAGCCAGAGCTACTGAGCTGAGGCCTGCGATGAACAGCAGCAAGGATGACTTCATCTTCCATGCGACCAGGGCACGCGATTGTTCCGGATTGATGGCCAGACGCAGAGTATCGCAATTCGAGCTTTGCGGCTGAGTACCGTGCTGGCGCCAAGCAGGCCTCGATGTCAAGCGTTAGATACCGCATATTGTGGGGTGTAGTTCACGAAAGCAACAATCCCAAGAAGAGCGTTTTATACCGTCGCGATGCCATGCCCATGACGGAGCGTAGCAAGACGACGACATGGGCTGTCTTCCATGCTCATGCTCGACGGTATGCCTCTCGTGAGGGCGTACAGGCGTGGCGTCGATGAACATGTCGGGGAGCGGCCTCGAACGTGGACTCATTGTCGGTATCAATTGCTGGTGAATGCGATGCCATAGTTGTACGGTTCAAGGGCGCCCGCGGGCGCCTGCATGCACCGGCGCGGAAGACGCGTAGAAGGTGCACGAGCCATCGCCGGAGCCACCCGTCGAGCTCTCCTTGGCGGGTGACTCAATAACTTTGACACTCTGAAAGAGCAAGCAGCCTTCAGCCATCCTCAAACCAGAGTCTTACGACGGTGGATTCATCTGACTTCGTTCACGGCAGGTCGCTTCTTTGAACATTGCGCGACAGCTGCCTACGGTCTCGATCGACAGGAGACTCCTGGAGACAACGTCATCGTACGGAATGCGCATTCCACGACGATCACGCGTCCGCCGCTCGGTCGATACCATACACGATGTCGACAGTCCACTCTTACTTCTTCGGCCATCAAGCTTTCTCTGTTTCCTTAGTACCTGGACCTCCTTCTCAGAGACGAAGGCGAGGCATGTCGTTGAAGGTTAGAAGATCGACTGCAACCGCCGGTCAGCGCAATGGTCATCACATAACCCAGCGGTTTCCTGTTGGAATACACGCAGCACCAGGCTATCTAGCATACTGAACTGCTAGCTTGCTGTCAGTCCCTCGCTCCAAACCGAATGTTTGCAAAAGCGCCTCATCATTGGTCGCCCCAGTAGTTGTGTCATTCCTCAATTGAGCCAGTAGAAAGGTAAGAGACTCAGATGCGTTTGATCGTACAGGTCCGAGCCTTGCGCATCAATTCATGGACATAGCCGCATGCTGTCACAACCGAAATTTGGCATCGTTCGCTGAATGAAGGGAAGCAATCAGATGGTTGCGCATCATCAAACACCACGACGAGATTGTTTGCGCAGTTCCGTGAAGAGGAAAAGACTCATAACAGCACCGAACGTCATACCAGATCCTCAAATGTTAGATTACTGAGTGAAGTGTCGACGCGTTTGGATCCGTGCGGACTCACCTTCACTGCGACTCTCGCTTAGCAAAGCGCGACAACGGCCATAACACTCTGCAACCCGTTCCCCTCCACTCACTCTACTTCCCCCAGATTTCATCCGCACCACCAAAGGAAGCGCCTGTCAACGCTAAAGACATCGACATGGCTCGTCTCAGCGCTAACGCGACACCGAAAACCGATCGCAAGCCGAGCCGCTTCCGCGGACTATTCAGACAGCAGTCCAGCTCGAGCGCATCATCCAGTCCCGCTACCCTGCAAAAGTCGCCTCCGTCCGTCGCCTCTAGCCCGTTGGCGTCGCCATATGTGCGCCCAGGATACGAACAAATCGGTCTCCTACCCAGCGAGCAGTCCATGCACAGTCTACAGGAACTTGGTGAGAACGATGCTGGCGATGGCGGGACGATTGGCTCTACAGCAGTTGAAAGTGCCTCTCCAAAACGCCATGCTGAGGAAGCAGGCCGTGATTCCGTTGAATCTGAGGTCGCCAAAAGCCAGAATACCTCTCCACGTACAGCTGGTGATGCAGACAAGCGAAGCGGGTTGCCACTGGGTTCTTCCCACAAGATCGCAGAGGCCATGGACAGTAAGTGTCTACCCAGGGCGCTTCGATACTACATGCTAACACTGAAACAGCCGCGAACAGCAGCCATGTCAAAGATGCATGGTTCGCAGACTCCGCAGGGCGTCAGATATCGCCTGGTACATCAAGTTGCTCACGATGTCAACGCACTCACTAACAACCTTGCAGACAGCCCCAAGTATTCCCAGCACGGTGGCTCTGTTGAAGACCCCAACCTCGTGCAGTATAAGACCACCAGCATCAAGCGCACGAACGACTTCCTCAAGACTGCTCGTATATCGCCACGACCCCCACTTCTCATCGACACGGCCGACGAGCACGGTCACTCCACGCTTTTGGATGAAGACGAACCCAGCCCCCGCAAGTCTTTCGCGTCTAACATCTTCGACGACGACAGTTCGCTGAGTCAGGGCATCCGCGAGTATGTCACCAGCAAGATCGCGGAAGCGCTGGCCGAGCACAACCGGGAGCGTCAAGGCGACGCCGATGCCACGGTCAACAACATAGGCCCGCTGAACCTCATCATCAAGATCGACGCGGCCGGCCTCGTCAAAGCAAATATCTCCAAGCGGTTGATCGGGGACGATGGAAAGATCGGCGAGTTCCCGGAGCGCCTCACCATCGGTCCCTTCGAGATCTCGAATGCGCAACTAGGACGAGACATCCAGTTCGGTGTCATGGCCATTTACGCGATCGCCTTCCTCGGTGCATCTCTTCTAGGACCCAAGACTCTGCTTCTTACTCTCTGGAAATCGGCAATCTTTATGGGGGTTTACGCCGCTCTGTTGCGTCAGCTGTGCTGGACTGAGAAGGTTGAGCGCGACGTGCTGCTGGCGCCTGTGTGCTTTGTGGTTAGTGTGGCTATAGGTATGGGCGAGCAGCTGCTTGACCAGTTGCGCATGATGATGGTTGCGGTACTCGCTGAGGCTATCGAACGCGTTGCTCAGAGCTGTGGTGTGCAGGTACATAGCGAGTAAATGTCTCAAACAGTATGGTGATAGTTCATGTATCGATTGGTAGTGGTCGTAAGCATACCTAGGCTCCCGCAGCTGAGGCTAACTGCTACATGAATGGAGATACATTGTGATTCTTGATATTCGCACTGATGGTGATGTGGTGAGGACGCCGGGGAAGTCGCAGGTTGGACGCTGCAGTAGATATCGCCTTCATACACGTCAAAGCTCGACATACGACCAGGCGCTGCTTCGTTGCGCAGAATATTTCCACTTACATAGCTGCGACCTGACGCCCAGCCGTCACCGTATGAGCTTTCCGCTATGACGTGCTTTCTTCTTCGTGAACCAGTGTATCAATAAACCCTTCAAACCAACACGATAGACTGTTCACGAATGGTGCTATCTCGAACGGCTTCCCCATGCATATATCCGTCGAAATAACAGTCGCCGATGAACTCGTAATAGCCTTCAGGCGGCTTTTCCGACTGACAGTCACCACTGAAGTCGATGTCGCCATCGCTCCGGACTCCATCCGTATCTACGGGTTTGAGTGCTTCTCTTTCTTCTTTGTTCAAATGCGCGGGCCGCAGAATGAACGGTACGTTTCCACCGTCTAGAACCCATACCTCGTCCTCAACACGAACGTGCGGATAGCAGAGACCCTGGCCGTTGCTTCCGGTCTTGAAGTAGCGACGTCCATGTGTTGTGACGGAGATCATATGGCATATTGTGGCATTGATTGTCTCCTCTTTTCCTTCCACCCATGCAAGAAAGTGCTCGAGCCAACGCATCGTTGCGGGACTAGTTGCAGGACTAGATTTGAGATCCCACGCGTGGCCTGCTCTATCGACTGGAATGTCCAATCCACCAAGCATCGTTCGCCAAAACGCTATGACGGAATCCGGCTGTGTATAGAGATTGTTCCGCTCACTAATGTGAGCTAACATGTCCAACGCACTCGAGTTGAGCGCGGATAACATCCATCTCTTGAAGACATCTTTATGTCTAATGTCAGCATCGTCTGTCGGGGAGATCAAGTTCTGTACGTCTTCGGATACAAAGGTAACTTTGCCCACGCGCCTGCCTACGACCCCAAGCCCCACTCGTCTTATCACCTCACCCGACGAACGCGGAGAAGCTTTTAGCAATACAGCGCTCGATCTGTGGTCGTCGGAAGCATTGAACACGCCATTATCGAATAGCTTGTACCGATCGAAAACTACATCGACGTCCATGCGATCGCAAGGCGCGTCAAAGTCCCGCACCCAGGACGCCAGTTTGCCCGGCGCTGGGCCATATTGAGGGCCTGTCAGACTCTTCAAGAACCCTTGTTCGCGACAAAGCATTGTGTAAGTAGCCTGAAGAAAAACCTCCTCTTTAGACAAAGTGTAATCCGGGGTGAAGAATCGGTCATCAATGACCCCCAACAGCCCGTAGACCTTGTCGCGCGGGTCCTCACACGCCCGAAACCCGTATACTACATGTTGTGTTTGTAGGTCATGTCGCTTGAGCTTGCCGCTGCCATCCCGTCTTCGATCATAATGAAGGCTCCGAGTCATGGTGCAGAAGTCCTTTAGAGCATTGATCATTGTAATAGGCATTTGCGATACGGGGGGATTGCAACATGGCTTCCAGGCATGTTGGTCGTAGTATAACCCGCAATCGGTGACCGTCTGAAGCGATGTCGTCCATGCATCAAAGTACAAAGTGCCTGTCCCTGGTAGGATAGCTTCTTGTACGGTCCAAAGGCGTGTCCACCAAGGACTTCGGTAGATAGCGAGGAATCCTTCGCACGACAGATTGAAGTCGTCATCGGGCTTGTAGACAGCTGTATCGGGAGCTTGGGGTTGAAAGCATTGCCATTCATAGACATGGCGACCACTCGCTAGTAAACGTACGATTTCGAATGGATCCGCTCCTTTTGAGTCGTCGTTCGCTCCATCGCCAAGGCGGCATCGCGAAGCATCGCAGCCTAGCCAGATCCGTACCTGGGCGCATTCGGAATATATCTTGCCCATGAGGGCCACTTGGTGCGACCTCTCCGTCGTATCCAACTGATTGATGCAAACAGCGTCTACCCACAGCGGAAGTTCGTTCTCGTGGTCGCGCATGTGGCGGAGCGCCTGCTCGAGGTTGGAGGTAACTTTGACCGCGACGCCATCGACCTCGATCAGCTTCGTGGCGTTGGGATCGCCCCAGGTGTATGACAGAGCGTCATAATGCGGCTTTTCGTAGAAGCTGACTGGCCGCAAGCTACACCGGATAGGCTCCCACGCGTTGCCAGCGTGCAGGCTGAGAATACGCAGGTACTCGCTCGCATGCGGTAAAGGCTCGTAAGCAAGGTGGGTGTGGATTGGCTTGGCTTTGTTGGCGTGCACACCCATCGTGGGTGGTTGTTGCCTCAAGCCTCATCAAAATGGCAGCTTGGAGGGATGCAGCTTACCGAGTGCTTCCTTCCGGCTACATCCTGCGTGCCTGCCAGGTCAACATGCAATAGCGAAGCGAACGAAATCTGAGCCCCCAAATCCCTCAGTCATTTCAGCCTCGAATAAACCTTATCCGCTCACCCTTTGCTTAATCTTCGCCTACCCTGAAAAGTAAACGTCGAGATGCACGCACAAGCTTCCTCTTCCCCAATCTTATCAACCCCCTCGCAGTCGCGATGCCGATCCCATTGTACCCCGCCTCGCCTAACACCTCTATTCTTCCAAAAGCAGTATCTTTCCCAGTGCGCACGCATCAGCCGACTCCCGTACCCCAGCGACAACAATGCGCAAGGCTAGTTCCCACAATACAGTTCACCCACCTGCAGGCCAAATGTGGCGGCCGACTAGCTTAATAAGACGGCAAGTCCGTCCCGCACCACCCGGCAAGCGTACCCCTTGCCTCATCAGGTCGCGACTGTTTAGCCCACGCCAATAGACCGTGCGACAACCTTGGAAGCCAGCGCCCGGATTTGACATGTGCGACTGCGACGCGGAACCGATAAGAACAACATCAACAACTGCATCGACTTAAGGCGCGCGTCTGGGACGTTGGGCATCCGGACATTCCGAGCTATTCTTCTCGCAGCGGCTTGCAGCGTTATCATTGACCCAGCCCTTATTCATTATAAGACGGACACCCTCTTGTGCGCTGCGCGCCGTCCTTGGACTGAAGTCGTCCGCAGTACCCAAAATGGCCGACTTATCGCACACCCGAACGAACGACGAGATGCTTAAGAACGCCGCGCATCTTTCGGAAGACGTCCCCCCCGAAGACGACGAAGTAAGCGGGTCCTCTAACATGAGAATAGTCGACTTTGGAAGAGACGGTACCGCCGATCCCGAGAGTGGAGTGGTGGATGAAGCACATCAACAGCCGCCAAGACGCAAAAAGAGGAGGTTTGGACTGGGGAAGAAGAAGGAAAGTTACAGTCATACGCATTACAAGGTTTACAAGAGACGGTGGCTTGGGCTGGGACAGTTGGTGTTGTTGAACATTGTTGTTAGTTGGGATGTAAGTTGACACCTGACACCGTCGCCCGTTCCGTTGTTTGCTTCTGCGCGTGTTGCGAAGGGGTCTTCCGTTCCGGACTTTGAGCGTTGCCCTGCGTTGTCGATCAGTGGTGTTGGGACAACATTCCATGAACATCATTCTTGAGCTCCAAGAAACTGCGAAGAACGACTGTAATTAACATAACGACCTAGTGGCTAACATTCGCCCCCATATCAACAACCTCATCGCAATACTTCCACGTCCCGGAATCATCCATCAACTGGCTTTCAACCGCCTTCCTCTTCTCCTTTGCCGCAACATGTCCATTGACGATTTACTTGCTCCACCGCGGCCCCAAACCATCCATCGTCGCCGCATCCATCTTGCTGCTAATTGGCAACTGGATTCGGTATGCGGGTACCAAGACCAACATCTTCCCTGTAGTCATGGTGGGCCAGATCTTGACAGGGTTGGCGCAGCCATTCGTGCTGGCGGCGCCGACGCGGTATAGTGACATGTGGTTTACTGAGGGAGGAAGGATTGGAGCGACGGCGCTGGCGAGTTTGGCGAACCCCTTTGGGGCGGCGGTGAGTAACGACGCGGGAAGAAGAGACGAAACGATGGCTAACAAGACACAGCTTGCATCTCTCATTAACCCATTTTTGGGCGATGTGCCAACTACGGTGTTGATAGTATCAATCATCGCAACCGTAGCATGCCTCCCGGTACGTCTTCCCATACCCTCCAGTCAGCCTACATCACATATCTAACTAACACCTCACAGTCTTTCTTCATTCCCGCGGCACCACCAACACCCCCGTCTGCTTCCTCTGCCATCTCCAAAACGTCAATCATGACATCCCTGAAGCACATGCTACGCACCCCCTCCTTCTACCTCGTCTTCTTCACCTTCAGCGTGTACACTGGCTTCTTCAACGCCTTCACCTCGCTGCTAAATCAGATCCTGTATCCATACGGCTACACCGAAGACGAAGCGGGTATATGCGGCGCGGTGCTCATCGTTGTTGGACTGGTAGCTTGCGCCATCACTTCTCCCATCATAGACCGCACACACGCATATCTCCTCGGCATCAAGATCCTATGTCCCGTGCTATCAGCAGCTTATGTAGCGATGATATGGGCGCCGCAAACGAGGAAGATTGTCGCGCCGTATGTGCTCGGTGCAATCTTAGGTGCATGTTCATTCTCCCTGCTTCCAATCGCGCTGGAGTACCTGGTCGAGATCACGTTCCCAGCTAGTCCAGAAGTCTCTTCCACGATCTGCTGGGTCGGAGGACAAGTCTTCGGCGGCATCTTCATCGTCATCATGAACGAGCTCAAAGACGGAAGACCCGTGGATCTGGACGCCGTACAGGATGCGGGCAGGGATGAGGCTACAGGTGGAAATAGACCGCCTGGACATATGCTTTGGGCGCTGGTCTTCCAGGCTGTGGTTTGTGCGGTGGTCCTGCCATTGCCGCTTATACTTGGTGTGAAGCGGCTGGGCCTCGCTAGTAGAGAGGGAAGGCTGAAGAAGGATGTCGATGGCGATAGCATTGTTGTGGCGGAAGAGGGGTCTGGTGAAAACGTCCAGGGACACGAGCAATGACTCCTTGGGGACATGGATTCTGGTGACGATTACGAGGATGATGATGACGACGACTAGGGTTTCTTTGTAGGCTGGGTTTTCTTACCTTGTCTTTTCGGGTTTATCTTGGGAGGAGAACTGGTTTCCTTGGTCCGTCTTTTTCATTGTTATTGTAAACAGGATTCATGTCCGCGTATAGCGTATGACCAACACACTTCTTCGCTTCATTCATGATGTTGTGCAATGTCTTGATTTGGATGGGGAGATAGAAGTACAGTGATATTCTAAACACGACTCTAATATGTACAGTCATCCACGCATGTGACATGTCTTGATGCTTGCATTCATTCCATTCCGAAAGTGCTACGTTCCTACTAGATGTCATGCACCAACATTGTATTGGTGTTCGCTCGTAGGAGGACGAGGATCGGCGGGGGTCGGGTCTGTTTACTTGAGCTGGGCGAATAGCTTCGGGGCGGCGCATTGGGATGCGCAGTGGGCAAGGTGGAAAACTGAATTCATGTTAGTGGTCGTGGCCGTTGATTGGGATTGTTTAAGATGGGCTCTGACGTACATTCTTCAACGCAGTCCTCGCTGGCCTTGCCGTCGTTCTCGATCTGGCCTGTTACCCGTTGGGCGCACTCGTCGTAGTGGTGCTTGGGGCCGTGGCATTCCTTGGACTCGGCGCATTCTGGGTGAGATGGTTAGTCATGGTTCCGTCTGCAGTGGCGCTATGTGTCTGATGTCGGGCTATGTCGGATATGGTGGGCTTCTTATCGAGACGTCCGACCAAAGCCGAAGCCTCCCAAACACGCAATTGATCTCTCATGCAACTGAAATGCCTTTTCTCGTACTCCGAGATAACTCACCCTTCTCAAGCTTCTCCTTTGGGTCGGGCTCCTCCTCTTCCTCTTCCTCCTCTTCAGGCTCATCCTCGTCATCGCCGCTCGGCTTGTGTCCCTGCTCGCCCGAGTCGCCGCCCTTCTTCGCATCCTGCTTGTTGACCTCGGCCTCGTCGCCGCTCTCCTCGTCGGTGCCGGAGGCGGGCGTCTGGGTGCTGGTGCCACCTTGGACGGGCGGTTGGCCCTCGGCGTCGGCCGAGGGGTGGGAGAAGGTCTCCCAGACGTCGGAGAAGAAGTCGGTGATACCCATTGTGGTGGCTCCGGGGCAATTGGGGGTCCTCGAGTGTGGGTGCGGGTGGTAGCGGAGGTGTTGGGCGATGGGGAACGAGAGCTGTGAGAGGTGTCATGCCGGGATCGCGAAAATGGGCGGTGCACGGGCCAGCGAAATGGTTAGCGGCGTCATGTAATTCTGTGCGATCTCAGTGGTCTCTTCACTGCTATGACATTCGTTGTGTATTATTTACACAACATCGTGTTATACGGTACATAGCTAATTCCTATGTCTCTTGAACGCCTCCTCCACGCTGACTCCTCTCCCCACGTCCGCAATCACCCTCTCGTCCGCCTCGATCAGCTTCGGTAGTAGATCGAGCAGTTCGTCTACCTTGCCCTGTGGCACCGCGACCACACCATTTTCGAAAGGGTCAATCATGATGATATCGCCGGCTTCGACCACCGTCTCGCCAATCCTCACGGGTACATTGTGTGCATGAAACTTGGTCTCGGCTCCCGCACCGATGACAGACGTCGCTTTGGACCAGATGGGCAGCTGCGTCTGATTCAGCGCAGTAATGTCCCGCACGCGACCGTCGACCACGATACCCTCTGCACCGAGATGCTGCATGCGAGCTGCCATAATCCCTCCGACGACTGCGCACGACTGCCCTGGAGGCTGGCTGATGACTACAATGGTGCCGCTCTCGGTATAATCTGCGTACGGCCTGGAGTCGGTAAGGTTGGAAGCTGGAATGCTATCCGCCATTTTGGGAGGGCTCGGGAACGACTTGGTCGCTTTCGGAATCATAAGGAAGGTCGATGCAGGCGCGAGGACCTTCTTCAGTTCAGGCTTGGGAACGCTGGCTGTATGGAGCAGCGGCCCTGACGGAGTCAACAATTGACGTGATCCAACGTCTCAATTGATCGTACTGATATCAGCGAGGAAGCCCGCGCCTGGTACGTGTAGCTTCAGTAGGCCATCGGCGAGCTACAAGAGTTTAGCTACGAATCTGGGTATGAGGAAGGTAAGCGCACGTCGCATGCTGCGTATTCATATAGCTTCTTCCATCTTGGCGATGCCATTGTTGTGATTTTGTAGTATAGAGCGCGAGACAATGTATATGATCTAGACATGCAGCTCGACAAGCTATGAGGCTCTTTACCCCGCCAGCCGAGGTGCGCCGGGACTCTGGGAACTATGTCTTCTCCAACATGGAACCCAACGGCCCTGAGTGTCGCACGCGTGTATTCAGATAGAAACTTCTCGGTCAATCGGACAGTCGAGATTGATCGGTTGCACCTGCTTCCTCTACGTCATCGGCCAATCGCATCAAGCCCTGAGGCGCGTCACGGAAGTAGACGCCGCTGTAACATGCTGCACGTGAACAGATGCAAGAAACACAAGTACATGATGTCCTACAAGTTAACTGTGTGATGAGCCGTGGCGGTGAATGAGCCAGATGGTGGCGCAAGGTCGAGTGCCGCCGTATCGCCAAGCACACGACAGATGCAAGGGTCTCGGAACGACGACGCATCTAAGCACTGGCCCATTCTGCCACTTTCCATAGACGTGACGACCAACTTTCCCGTGGCCTCTCGCTGCCACGCCCAATCCACCGCCCACGCGCGCCTATTCCTTTTCTTTCATCGGGTACTAGACATAGTCTTTGCGGCCTCTGCGCTGCGCATTCTTCACCATGGCCCTCCACGCGGCCGGCGCTGCCCAGGTGCGTTTTGCCACGAGTTCCGACATCGCGTCATTGAACCCCTACTGACTTGGATATAGAAGGTCGCTTCTGTCACGTCGCAACTGTCGCCCACCATGTCTACCGCCCTGCGCTCCTCGTGGCACACCCTGGGCCGCATGCCCACGGCTGCCGGCGTCAGGCAGCTCACCACCGCATCTTCGTTTTCATGTTCAGGTTAGTCGCAGTGAGGCACAGTCAGGACACAACACTGACACTCAGCAGTACCGCGCGTCGGACTATGCAATCCCCTCGCCCTGACATCGCCCGTCGCTGCCCTCAGGGCCCGCCAGTTCTCTTCCATGTCGCGCACCGGCCCTCTCTCGCACCTCCGCCAGCTGACCAAGCCCGGCATGCTCGGACTCAGCCTCGTACAACAGCGCTCGCTCTTCGGTGGCCCCTCTCAGGAACAACTCGCTCGTCTCGAACAGGCTGCTAATGCCAACCCTACGAGCGCCTCCGCTCAGGCTTCTTTCTACTCGGCTCTTCTACGCGGCAACTACCACCAGATCATCATCGACCGGTACAACACAGGACGCTTCGCCACCAACTCTACAATTGACAAGATGTACAACAACGCCTTGGCAAAGACGGGACAGGACGGCGGCGAACACTCGGGGCTCACAGCGAACCAACGCCAGGCTATCACCCAGGCCATCGGCGCGAACGCTGGCGGTGCTCAGGTCGCCAAGACCAGGGGCGGCGCTGGCGTCAAGGCCGACCCCGTCTACGTCGTTGTCGAAGAGTCTCTGATGAACGTCATCTTCAAGTGGGTCCGCTGGATCTGCGGCTTCGCTCTGGCTGCCTACGTCTCCCTGATCCTCATCACCCTCTTCGTCGAGACCAGCGGCGTCCTCAAGAAGGGCGTTGGCGGTAAAGAGAACGCCGAAGTCCGTCCCGAGCAGCAAAACACCCGCTTCAGCGATGTTCACGGTTGTGACGAGGCCAAGGAAGAACTCACCGATGTCGTTGACTTTCTCAAGAACCCCGACAAGTACAACAAGCTCGGCGGCAGACTCCCCAAGGGTGTACTCCTAGTTGGCCCTCCCGGTACTGGTAAAACTCTGCTTGCTCGTGCTTGTGCAGGAGAGGCCGGCGTTCCCTTCTTCTACATGTCCGGTTCCGAATTCGACGAAGTCTATGTTGGTGTCGGAGCCAAGCGTGTTCGCGAACTTTTCACTGCTGCCCGAGGCAAGGCGCCTGCCATTGTCTTCATCGACGAACTTGATGCCATAGGCGGAAAGCGCAGGTCGCGCGACGCCAGCTACCACCGCCAGACCCTCAACCAGCTTCTCAACGATCTCGACGGTTTCGACCAAAGCAGTGGTGTCATCTTCATTGCTGCCACCAACCACCCCGAGTCTCTCGACGAAGCCCTGCTTCGCCCCGGACGCTTCGATCGTCATGTCCAGGTTGAACTCCCTGATGTAGGTGGCCGACTGGCTATCCTCAAGTACCACACTCAGAAGATCCGCCTCTCTCCCGATATCGACCTTTCTACCATCGCCCGTGGCACACCTGGATTCTCTGGTGCCGAGCTAGAGAATGTTGCCAACTCAGCAGCTATCCGTGCTTCCAAGATTCAGGCAAAGTTCGTCTCTCTCGACGACTTGGAGTGGGCCAAGGACAAGATCAGTATGGGCGCAGAAAGGAAGAGCCGCTCCGTACCGCTCAAGGACAAGATTCACACCGCCTACCACGAGGGTGGTCATGCGCTCGTCGGTCTCTACAAGCCTGGCTTCAACGATCTGCACAAGGCGACTATTCTTCCCAGAGGCCACGCTGCCGGTATCACCTTTTTCCTTCCGGAAGAAGAGGGCCACCACACTCGCAAACAATACATACGCCAACTGCAGGTCTCTCTGGGCGGCAAGATTGCCGAAGAGCTTGTATATGGTGAGGAGAATGTATCCACCGGAGCTTCTAGCGACATTTCCAACGCAACGAGGATAGCGTACATGATGGTCACCCAGTGCGGCTTCTCGGAGAAGCTCGGCAACGTCGACTACAAATCTAATTACGAGATGGTCGCACCCGAGACCAAGCGAATCATCGACGACGAGGTGCGGAAGTTGATCGATGAGGCGAGAAAGGATGCAAAGGAGTTGCTGCTGTCGAAGCGCAAGGAGCTCGACAGATTAGCCGATGCGCTTGTGCAGTACGAGACGCTCGACAAGAAGGAGATCATGAAGGTCATCAAGGGCGAGGACCTTCCTGGCCGGCTGAAGGCCTTGCCTGACGCGCCCATCAAAATCCCAGACAACCCACTCCCCACGGCGATAAGACCAAGGGGTGATGGTGGTGACGGCCCAGAACCTCCCGCACCGATACCCGCGTAGTCAGCGGGATGGGAATGATGCATGTGCATAAAAGCACGTTGTTTATGAGGTGAATGGCGTTCGTTCGACCTCTTCCCTCTCCCTGGAGGGTTTCGCTTCATTGGTCATGTACAATATTAGGAATACCTTAGCTTAGCGAATAGAGCGAGCTATTGACCACGTCGCGCCATGGATCATGCAAAATTGTGTGTGGAGATGATGGATAGAAAGAGGGAGACTGATGAAGTAAGACAGCAACGAGGAATGTGAACACACACATCAACACAAGCAGCTCGCGATCCAGATGAAGCTGCCGGGTACGCTTTTGGAGGTCTTACGCTCCAACCTTCGTGAAGTTGACCAGGTATTCGCGATTGCAATGCGTTCACTCATGTCACCAGTGTGAAGACCAGCTTTCACTCGGCGATGGCCCCATGAGCAGTGGCGAGTTTCTGAGCCCAGTCCTCTCTGCATGCACTCTCAAAGGTCGCGAAACAAGGACAGACAACCCACCATGTACCTCCGAGCTTTGGCACTCACTGCAGCCAACTCAACTTCCTCACCGTCATTTCTACGGCTCCAGCCCCCGACTTCTGTTCGACCTTGGAATTACAACATGGCCAACTCCCGTAACAAGAGGACTACGCCTTCGGCATCACAAAATTTGAACGACGTCGTCGACAAGTACGCGTCACCGCCTATGGGGTCATCACTACCAGAATACTCGCGACGGTCATATGATCCTGTTCTGAGCCGTCATGGGCACGGTGATGTCAGCATGTCTTCCTCGCCATCGCCATACCCTCTTTCAGAGCGCAGGAGAGCCAACCTCCAACAATCAACATCCACGCATTCAGGCTATCTCGATCGCGCCCAACTCTTCGGTCGCACACCTATTTCTATCCAACACAACGCACGTCGCGCCCGCCCTCCATCCACCTCAAGTTCAAGCATACGAAAGCGATCGTCGCGTACCCCTACTGGCGAGTGGGCGGAAGCGGGTCTTCCTGAACCACCTATCGAGAAGAGTAGGGTCAGCTTGGATAATGCTGAGGGGTTGATTTGTACGCCTAGTGGCATAACGACTCTTGACGTTGAGGAAGATACACCAGGTCGCTTTTCACCCTCAGCTCAGATACCTGCTTCTCGTAAGACTCCGCTTGCTGAAGATGCGTTGAGGGAGCAGTTTGAGAAGGGTAGGGTAGAGCTCGCTAGGAATCTTGCGTGGCGAGCTGGTCCGAATGGGAAGTCGAAGTGGGCGGGGAGGGGTCTTGGTAAGCATTGTGAGGGGTATGTGTCTCCTAAGACGCCTTCTGTTGCTTCTGATGGTGAGGAGAGCGAGTTTGGGTATGTGGATCCGGCGAGTGTCAGGGATGTGCTTGCGCGCGTTAAGGCGAGGGAGGCGAGTGGACGTGCTAACTCGCCCTCCGATCATGTGCAGAGTGTGACGAGTGGAAATGGGCCGAAAGACAGCTATTTCGACGTCGATGTTCCGCGCCGCAGTAAGGATGCGCTCTTCCGCGATTCCTCGGATCCAGACATGGCTTTGCCAGAATTTCCAGATCGCAGTGTCTTCTCGAAGTCACGTCAACCAGCCGGTCCGTCGCCCATCATGAAGACATCAACTTGTCGAAAGCGCCCATCTCCAGCTAGCGATCGCACTGAGATTTCGTTCTCGCCCATCATCACTGCTATCGACGTGGCTCCCCATCCAACAGGCCAGGATCTCGATACCACGCCCATTACCTCCTATCTCTCCTTCAGCACCATCACAATAACGATCTCCCAGCCGCCTACGCCTCCACACAAACGCACTGGCCTAACCTTCTCCCAAGCCACAGCAATAATCTACGGCTGCATGGCTATAACAGCATCGCACCAAGCGTTCCTCGGTCTGGGCGGAGACATCGCCGCTATGGACCTGATCATGGGTCTCTACGCGGCTTTCCTTTTTGGTCTCGCCATCTTTGTAATTGTACAAGTGCTGTTAGGTGCTGGACTGCGATGGTGTAGGCGGGCATAGGGATTTGTACGTCAGGTTCCTTAGAGGGTTTTGGGGATAGGGTGCGTGAACAACGCGGTTAGAGGGAATATACTAGATACATGCCGTTTGGGTTTGGTGTTAGGGAAGGTTGGCGTTCGATCGGATAAGGAGTGCCTTTGGCGATGTGCAGGAGCATGATGTAGATATGGGAATGATGCGCATCATGGTATCGCTGTTACTTATATGGATACAATGTTGGCCCTTGATCATTCCTTGAATCACACTAATGACTTCCCCCATGTGCGTGCGTGTCTACGTGTAGATGTAATAGATTTCACGACCATAACTGACTCCCCACTCAACGACCCTCCACCATCAATCCACATCCACACACGCACACCCCCTTATCCCCCACAACCATCCCTACACCCTCCTCCTCCCCTCCTCCGCCTCCCGATCCCCCATCAACGACTCATCCGCATCCCCATACTCCATAACGCGTCGGCGCGCCTCCCTCGATATCGCGTCGTTCTCCTCGTGGACACGGCGCCGCTCAGCTTCAGCCCTTGCCTCGATAAGATCCTGGACGTAAATTGTGGCGTCGGTGAGCTTGGTGATGATGAAGTTGGCGATTGCTCGCGGTGAGCCGGGGCCGTTGCTGTCCATGGTGTGTAAGAGACGGTGCTGCAGAATGTTTGGGTTGGGTACTAGGAGGATATTGGGGATTGAGTGATGTAAATAATGAGTTTGGAGAGGGATAGCGAGAGGTTAGAACGAGGAACGTGTGTCGATGTATGGTGGTTGGTTTTATTGCGGTGATGGTGTGTATAGAAAGAGGTGAATTGTGCCTTCACCTGCTTCCCATGGTACGTGGTGGACCCTCATCCGCCTTCCACGTCGATATGTTCAACCTGCCAATATGTCGCTTCGCGAAGTTCACTACCGCATTCACATTCGATTCTCGCTTTGGAATGCGCCCACCAACCTGCATTCGTTGCGCGGCCCGAATTTGGTGGCGGACATACACAAGATTGAAGGGCGGTCAAGGTGTTATCGGATGATGTACACGCATCGTGCAAGTCTATTTCATACTAGCCCCATAATACCATGCTATGCAAATCTATCAACTTCCACGACCTCAACCGCGCAATAACCCCCTGCAGCCACAAGTCTCACCCTCAACCACCTAACTCAAATCAAACCCAGCCCCCGAGAAAACACTATACAGCAACTTCTCCCTAAGCGTCGTTTCATCCTCATACATCGGCAACTTAAGCAAGTTAACACACGTACTCGTACTAGGCAGCCTATCCTGATCCCTCCCCGCATCCCTAATACTGAACCTCGGATTCAGCGTACCGAAGCCCAGCAGCGGGGCGCGCGGCGTGCTAGTCACGAACTTCAGCACCGCACGCCTCTCATCGTCGGTCATCTCCTTCATGACCTTCCAGAGGAGTTGGATGGTGGGGTGCTCGAGGCCGTCGTCGCCGATGACGTAGGTGCCGCCGTAGATGGTGTTGCGGCGCAGGTCTTCGATGTCAATGGATGTGCGGGTACCGGAGATGAGGGTCTGGAGTTCGGATTGGTTGAACATGGAGAGCCAGGAGGGTTGGATCATGGTGCTGAGGCCGCGGAGGAAGGCGGTGGTTTGGGCGTAGGGTTGGTTTTGCAGACGGTGGCGCGCCATGTAGCTGATGTAGACGAGGCGGTTTTGGTTGGTGACGGGGGTGTTGGAGCCGTCGGGCTTCAGGTCCTTGGTGATGGCTTTGGTTTTCTTCGGGGAGGTGGTGTGGTCTACGATGACGGTGTCGGTGACGGTGAAGTTGAGGGAGAAGTCCTCAACGTCGCCTGGGTAGGTCTTCAGCTTGTGCAGCCCTTGGTATAACTCTTCATCTAGATCGCGGAGGTCATTGAGGGTAGGGCGGTAGCCGGATTCGTTGGGCGCGGAGCCGGTGCCACCTGTCAGAGCCCACTTGCGCAGGAAGAACGGGGCGAAGTTGACGTCGACCAGGATACCTTCGTACAAACATTTTCCGATGATGCGTCCCAGGAACTCGTAGCGTTGAAGCAACTCAGTGATCTGGGCACGGTACTCTTGTGAACCCTCACGTATGCCGGCTTGCCGGAGAGCCTCTTTGTGTTCTTCAACTGCTGCGGGGTTGGGGTACAGGAGATGCTGGTCATTCTCAACAAACATGTCGATGTAATCAGTCGGCATGAACGCGCGGTTGGTGACGCTGGTCAGGAACTCTTTCGTGACACCACCTCCGTCGATACCGGCCTCAGGAGCGCCGAATTGATCCATGAAGGTAATCTGGATTGGTTCCTTTAAGCCCTGGCCTAGTTCATAGAACTGCTCAAACGCATCATCGAACTCGTTCTCTCTCCTAATCCGTGCCGTGTGTTTCTCGAGTTGGCTGCGAGCGTTTGGCTGCTGCATAGTCCGAAACCGCCAGAACTCAGGATCCGCAGATCCTCGTCGCTTGATCATATCTAGTTTAACAAACTCGCGAAAGATCTGAACACGAGTGGTGAAGGGTATGAAGAACGGCATGTTCTGCAGGATCTCGAGACGAGGTGCTACGGCTTGCAGGTACCGTCTCCGCGAAGCCTTGCGCTGCTGCCGTTGTAGTTTCTCCAAGCGTCTTTGTGTTTGTGTGCGACTCGTACCGATGAGTTGTGGTGTATCGTCGAATTCCTCTTCTTCCAGGTCGTCAAGATCTTCCGCATCTTCCTCTTGGATCTTGTGCCGCGACTCTTCCTCCTCAACTACAGCCGGGATGAACCCTGTCATGTCAAAGCGCGAGACCATGAGCCAGTGGTCCGAGGGCAGGAACTTGCGTCGCGAGTCGCGTTCGTATACCATACGGAGTAGTCCAGTGACCAGCCCTTTCACGTAATCTATCCTCAAGCCTGCGACACCACCTATTGATGGCTCAGCATGCTCTTTCTGGGCTTGATTGTCCATGACGCCAGGGTTGAAGTAGCTAAGACTTCTGTTATTGCCTCCCATGTCCTCTTCTGAGGTTGTAATGTCCACTGCGTTGAAGTAGAGCGTGAAGCCCAAGTTCTTCAGGAAGGTTGTTAGGTCCTTCACCTCACTTAGAGGCAAACCACTGTCCCGGATCTGGCCCGAGTAGATGTCTTTCTGCCCCGAGGTGAAGAACTCCTCGTCGTCGGTGACTTTGAGTACAAATGTATATAGTTCGAGGAATACCAGAATGACCCGCCATTCGTCCGTGGTGACTGCGTCGCGATCAACCTGTTGTTGTGCTGGCTGCCAGAAGCCATGCTGCGTTAGTCCGGACGTCCCTGGGCGGTCAGAGTTGTTCAGATTTGAAGATTTCGGCTTCAAGAGTCCGATAGCTGCCCTCGAGTCCCTGAAGATGGTGGTAAAGACCAATGATCGTTTTGATGCTTCCCAAAAGTATCTGATCGCGGGAAGCTTCCTTGCGCTCTTTCCAGACGCCTCTGATGGACCGATGTAAAGCCACATTCGTATCTCATCACCGCGACGAGGGAAGAAGCGAAGTAATGCAAGCGCGTAGTTTGCAAGCTGCCGGGCTTCTTCGATCTTTTCATCATCTGAAGCTTCCGCTGACTGTGATGATCCGGCCAAAAGACTTCCAATACCTTCCTGATGTACCAGGGAGCGGACTTGCTCTTTCAAGAAATTCGACACGGCGCTGGAGTCTTGTTCGGCACCATCGTCTTCGGAAAGCTCGGCGATTGGATGGTCGTCATCTACAATGTTGATTGGGAGGGAGTTCAACAGAACCGATACGACGGCTACAAAGTCTTTGTGAACAGCGTAGGCTTCGGGAGTGTCGAAGTTGTGGGCGTAGCGGTGGAAGTAGATGAAGTTTCCCAGTAAACGCAGTCTACTTGATGTGTTCTTCAGCTCGGATTTGCTTTGCAGTCCTGCCCTCTTGGAAAGTGTCGCCAATGCGTTTGCGAGTAGCTTGTAGTTGATGGCGTCAGCGAGCGAGTCGCGGAACTTTTGCAATGGTGGTGACGTTGAGTCCGAGCCTAATAGTGGGAGGGTCAGGAAGTGTATACCGAAAGCCTCATAAGCGTCCAGTGTGTAGCCAGTCACCCGCGTCATTGGTGAGAGGGCTGCCCTGACTATGGTGTCACTTATCTCCGATCCTTCGCTCTGCGTTTCAAGTGTCGGGGTGAAGGTGGACACGACGCGTGCAAGTGTACGGTAGTAATGCTCGGCGTTTTGGGACGTTTCGGCGGGTATCTGGTCTGCGAGGAACTGTAAGACGGTGAGAGATGCTCCAACCTGATTCCATTGCATTGGCGCGTGCTTCTGAAGCTGCCGCTCTATGGCCACGAGTAGGATGCGCTCCAGCCTTAGATATGCCCACGGCCACGGCCCGCTTGATGTGATGCCCAACTTCTTGACTGTTTCCATTTGGCGCGATGCATAGTGCTGTATCCGTCGCAGGTCGTCATCGCTCCGTGACGACGCGAATCGAAGCAGCCGTTGTAGTTGGGCGAGAGCCTCCTCCTCCGAGTCATATGTCGCCGTCCTCGAAGAGCCATTCGCCTCTTCTACTCGGTCCCATGCGCCCCGTAGTTCGTCCGCCACATCTCTCCTGGCGGAGTGACCCCGCCATACTTTCTGTATCCGCTTGGCCGCATTGAGCGTATCTCGTTCCCGCTGTCGTTGCGCTCGCTCTTGCTGTGCGCGATCGAGGGCGGCTTGTGACCCGGCGCCGGAGCCGGGAGGGCCGAAGGGATTCGTCTTCTTGCCGCCGAGGTTGACTTGGCGCGCCTTTCGCGTGTTGCCGGTGAAGCTCGTGAACATGGTGGCGGGGCGTTGAAGAGGCCAATGCGAGACGTCGAATCGGTGTATGTGTAGGGTAAATGTGTCTAGATAGCTTCTGACGCTCTCGATGGCGGGTCGGTCTGCAGGGGAAGTATTAGATTAGGTGTGAATATGTCGCTGTATAAGGGTAATAGTGAAAGCACACGGCACCAGCCAAGCCAGCGATCAGTTGGGGGCGAGGTGGAGGTGTGCCCATCCGTAGGGAAAGAGGTGCACTCGGTGTCGTGATTCGAATATAGAAGGCGCAAGCTACGTAAGGCCTTCGACCGGGTTCTGCGTGTCTCGGGCGGCGATGGTCGTGGTAATGGAGACAACCATACAGTGGTCGACATCGCCGCAACCTCCGAGAGTCCGTGCACTCTGGTGCCGTCATCGCGCTTTGAAATCGCGACGCGCCCACTCTTCACCATCGCCAACACAATGCCACGATTCACGCGCAAATGAATATTCTTCTAACAACGCGCAAACCCCTCACGATGCTGGGAGAGCTCCATTATCGGTCGTCTAGTCACAGTTTTCGGCTACAATTCGCTACCATTGTCTGAACGCGTGAGAGGATTTATCAGGCACCCTAATACTCATACCCACGATACGCCGTCGGCAGCAACTCCACTCCCGCCTCTTCATCCATTCCGTCACTCCTCTTCTTCGCGTCTTTCTTCTCCCTTTCCTTCGCCTCAGTAAGCACATTCATGACAACCGTAACAAGCACGCCCATAGCAATCAACTGCCCCGAATCCCACACTATCATCTCCGTATTCGGATCCTCCATCCACCCCGAATCAGCCACCCACTCACGCATTGTGTACACGCGGAACCAGCAGAACAT